AGTCCTGTTAAACAGTTAGATATTTAGGCCTTGTTAGAGTTTATTTAGTAGTTGTTAGCTATCTCTTTGTTAAATCTCTGTGTATAAATAACTCTGTAAATCTCTCTCATTTAAATGTGAAAACATTGTTCATCAATCTGGTATCAGATAAGCCAAATAGATCCTATGGCCAATAACCAAATTCCTTCCCCAACTCTCGATTCACCGGATAGTTCGACGGACGCCGTTCCTGTCTCCGATCGCCGCCCACCCAACATGCTGCAACAAGCCCACCACTATGTCTCCATCAAATTAACCTCCACCAATTATCTCTTCTGGAAGGCACAGTTAGTACCATTTTTATGCGACCAGAACTTATATGGGTATGTCGATGGTACTCAGACCTGCCCATCGGAGACTGTCACCGGCTCTTCCACGTCCACTACTCCGGCTACCAATCCCCTCCGCGATGTATGGATCCAACAGGATCAATCAATCCTGAGTATGTTGATCTCGTCAATGGCGGAGGAAGTCCTGTACTTGGCAATCGGTCACATCACGTCGCGCTCCGTATGGCTAGCAATCGAAACTGCTTTAGGCTCCACCTCCCGCGTGCGGTCGTTGAGTCTCCTCACTCAACTCCAAGGTCTCCGGCGGACTACCTGGGCAGAGCACAGGTCCTGGTCGAGCAACTTACCCAAGCTGGTAGACCGATCGGCCTTGACGAGCAAAACCTCCATGTATTCCGTGGACTTCGACCGGAATACAGGAGCCTCAATGCTTCCCTCACCACGAAAAGTGCACCACGTACTATCGATCCCAGAGGTCTCTGATCTTCTAGCAACTCACCACTACCTGTTCCCAGAGGAGGCCGGCAGCCATGGTGCCTCAGTACCCACCCAGCAACGGACAACGAGGACGTGGTAGCCGTGGTGGTCGAAACAATTACCGGGGCCGCGGTAGATGACAGAGAGGATGTGGCGATGTACGTTGTCAGTTGTGTGATGTCGTCGGTCATACTGCACTTACCCGTTATCAATGCTTCGTTGATGTTGGTGGCCACCGTCTACAAAATAACCAGCCACCACAACATGTGACCATGCAACCACAAGCCCACCTGGCGTCTCAACAAACCCAAGATGATTTCAACACGGCTCCTTTTTCCAACGTGTGGTTCCCCGACACCAGCGCTAATGCTCATGCAACACCAAACGTAGCGGCGTTGAATAATGTTGAACAATATGGAGGTGACGAGACATTACGCGTTGGAGATGGTTCAAGTCTGTCTATCTCAAACACAGGTTCACTCTCTTTATTGTCTAAGTCTCGGTCACTGTTTCTAAATAGCGTTTTGCATGTTCCTAAGTTACGTGCGTCATTACTGTTCGTAAGGAAATTTACATGTGACAATGACGTCTATTTTGAATTTCATTAATCTCATTTTCTTGTGAAGGACCGTACAACCAACCAAGTTCTTCTTAGCGGACCCAGTCACGGCGGGATGTATTCACTCGGCATGACTTCGCCAGTTGCGTTATTTTCAGCAAAAGCTTCTCCCAGAGTGTGGCATAACCGCCTTGGTCACCCCCACACTCGAGTCTTGCGTCAGGTTCTTTCTAGTTGTCCTGTCAATGGATCTTTTCGATCCCTTAATAATATGTGTACGGCGTGTCAGCTGGGTAAGTCTGCGCGCTTCCCACTGGCACAAGTCAAACAGTCTAGTAAGTCTGTACTTGAATTAGTTTTCACCGATATTTGGGGCCCGGCTCTCGTCCCGGCAGTAGATGGTTCTAAATATTTCGTGATATTTGTTGATGATTTTTCGCGTTATATTTGGTATTATCCACTTAAATTCAAGTCCGATATATACTCTATTTTTGCCAAGTTTCGTGCCTATGTTGAAAATGGTTTCTCTACCACTATTAAATGTATCCAATCCGATATGGGCGGTGAGTATCAAAAACTTCACTCGGTATTCACTGCAGTAGGAATTGCCCACCGGCAATCAGCCCCCCATACACACGAACAAAACGGGCGTGTATAGCGCCGAAACCACCATATAGTCGAAACCGGGCTAACTTTACTTGCCCAAAGTTGTGTACCACAAAAATACTGGTCCTATGCGTTTGAGTCGGCGGTTCACTTGATAAACCGCCTCCCGTCCACAGTTTCCCAAAATATGAGTCCCTATTCCCGTCTGTTTCACAAGTCACCTAATTATAATATGTTGCGGGTGTTTGGGTGCGAATGTTTTCCGTGCCTCCGCCCGTATAACTGTCACAAGATGGATTACCGATCCACTTCTTATGTGTTTCTGGGATACCCAGAGTCTGTTCTTGGTTACAGGTGTTTAGACAAAGCTACTGGACGTATGTATGTTGCGCGGCATATGCGCTTCAATGAAGAAGTTTTTCCCTATCAAGCCATGCAACACCCAATTTCAGCTCCCGTGCCAATCAACACTGCTCCTCTACCTTGGGCGAGTGCTCAGCTCAGTCAACCGACCCCCACTATTGTACCACAGCCGTCGTTGCAGTCCCAACCGCCGCAACCCCAACAACCATCCAGTTCATCAACACAGGCAGCCTCCTCGTCCTTTCAGCCGACTACCTCGTCAACGACCACAGGGAGGAGAGGCCGCACTGTGAGGCTAAATATTCGCACTCACGGCATGCAATTGCGAGTGGGAACACATGCACGGCGACGACCAACTGCTATGATAACCCCTATAGATGATGTTGAACCTACTTGCCACACCCAAGCAGTCAAGTCTCCTAAATGGCGCGCCGCGATGGACACTGAGTTCAACGCTCTACTACAAAATGACACCTGGCGTCTAGTGCTGGCTCGCAACGACGTGAATGTCATCGGCTGCAAATGGATATTCCGCATCAAGCGGAAGTCCGACGGATCAGTTGAACGCTACAAGGCTCGCTTAGTAGCCAAAGGGTTCAATCAAATTCCTAGAGAGGACTACCGAGAAACGTACAGCCCCGTGGTCAAACCGACCACTATTCGGCTACTTCTAGCGTTCGCGGTGTCCGCTAAATGGACTATGCGCCAATTGGACATACACAACGCGTTCTTAAACGGCCACATCGAGGAGGACATATATATGCGTCAGCCATCAGGCTACGCGAATCCCAATTTCCCTAATCACATGTGTAAATTGCAACGCTCGTTGTACGGGCTTAAACAGGCCCCTCGTGCGTGGTTTAAGAGATTACACGACTTTTGCTACAAATTGGCTTTCGGCCATCCAAAACAGATATATCTTTGTTTATTTTTGACTCAGGTCAAGACCGGGCATATATACTGGTATACGTCGACGACATATTACTCCTGGGCAACAATCCCAACATGGTTACTACCGTGATGAGTCAGCTAACTGAGTCTTTTCGGATTCGAGACCTCGGGGTGCCGCGGTTCTTTTTAGGGATTGAGGCTACATATAATGGTGATGCCTTGATCCTGTCACAACAGCGCTACATGACAGAGTTACTCCGCAAAGCCGGCATGGAAACTTGCAAACAACTGGCCACTCCCATGTCGCCAGTCGTAGCAACTACCACGGATTCCCCACTACTAGACGACCCGACGCCTTACAGGAGCCTAGTTGGTTCGTTGATGTATCTTCTTATCACACGGCCGGACCTGTCCTTCTCAGTTAATCGTCTGTGCCAATTCATGCACAACCCCACAGAAGATAACTGGGCGGCACTCAAGCGCGTCCTTCGCTACGTTCAAGGGACGGGACATCTTGGTCTGCGTCTTGTTCCGTCCACGACTCCAGTTATACATGCCTTCTCTGACTCGGATTGGGCCGGGTGCTCCGTGGATCGCAAGTCCACCGCTGGCTACGCGGTATTTCTCGGGCCCAACCTTGTTTCCTAGGTCTCGCGGAAGCAACGCACAGTTGCCCGTTCTTCGACTGAAGCCGAGTACAAGGCTCTTGCAGATGCGTCCGCTGAGGTAACATGGATTGAATCTCTCTTACAGGAGCTTGGTTTGCGCCCATCTACGGTTCCCGTGCTGTGGTGTGACAACTTAGGGGCCACGTACTTATGTGTTAACCCCGTATTTCATGCACGAACCAAACATATCGAGGTGGACTATTTTGTCAGGGACAAGGTTGCCTCCGGAGGGTTGAAAGTCAACTTCATCTCAACACATGATCAACTTGCAAACGTCTTCACCAAGCCGCTTTCCTCGACTCGACTAAGTGACTTACGTTCCAAAGAATTGACAATGTTGACACCCCACTGACTCTAATTGAACAAATTTACACATCATTCTCAGAATTGTATCAATGCATGAAAACTTCTAAAGAAATTTGTAAGTTAATTTTTACTATATCATTATAACAATATCTATTATAAGCATATATTTCGAATTATTTATCTTCATTCTCTATTGACAGCAATTGCCATTGACAAACTCCCAAAACATATAGGCTTAAAATATATATAACGATTTATATTTTATATTTGTAATGATTTAATCTTAAAATACTGATAATGATTTATAGTTGTAATTATTTATATTCATCATATCGTAATGATTTGTGTCTAAAATATCCAAAAATAACTAAAATTATAGTAATAAATAAATTATGCTCTAAATAATGGCAACGAGTCATAGTTATAATGATTTACACTAAAAATATAGTTTGACTTTACCAAATTTAAAGCATTGCTAATTTGGTGTCATTTTACAATTAGTTATAGGCTAAAGTGTCATTCCGCACCCTGAACCATAAGCGATTTTTCATGCCGCACCCTGAACTTTCATAAGTGCTATTTCAATCCACAAACTATAAAATAAATTTCACCTAAAACTTTTCACAGGTTACCTATAGGTTGCAGGTGATAATTTGCTGACATGAATTTTTTTTTTTTTTTGCTAACATGGATTTTTTTCTTTTTCTTTTTCATCAACAAAGTCAACCCTAACCATTATCATATTCTTCCGCATATTTCTGGCCGATCTTTGCCGCAAGGGCTATACTTTATCGAGGGCGGTCAAGATGCTCCAGGTCGGCGATGATCCTTCGCGACCCTCCAGAGCAGTCTCCCACTCCCAGCAACATGTCCGTGATCAAGAGCACTGTTTGTGGCATCATAAATGAGCCCAGGATCAAGAACACTGTTTGGATTGACTTGTCCTGCTCCTATGGCAAGAGTGGTGGCAACAGTGTACTTCAGACCAGAATGTTTTATCAGATCCTTGGTGTTATCATAGGGGTGGGCTGTTGTAACCATGGCTGATCTGATGGCAGCCGGGCTCCATTCTGGATGCTTCACCTTTAAGGAGTGCAGCAATGGCATAAGAATGAGGACATGCCATGGATGATGGATGTTCTAGAGATCATGTTGAAAGTGTGGGACAACATTCTCATCCCCACTCTGGTAGATATATGAGAGCTAATTTGGCTGAATAATTGCCTAGTATTATATTGTCACAGACAATAACTCCATCACCAAAACTGGACAGAATTGCAGGCAGATATGGGTCTCATTGTAAATGAGTGGCAGCCTCTCAGAACCATGCATCCAATGATTTCTTGACCATTTCTCAGATCCAAATTCCCTGCAAACCAACGATTAATGGAGCCAACTACACTTGTTAAAACCCATGGGATTCCATTATGCAATCTTCCAATTGCATGGCCTGCATTTCCAACTGAGGCAGAAACAAGAACATTCATTTCCATAGCCCGAAATGGAGCTATGGCAATGGGGTCTTCATACAAAGGAACAAAATCAAACCCCATAGAAATTGATATCACATCAACCCCATCGGCAATTGTCTGGTCCTTTCCTGCAAGAACATCAGAAGCATACCTCCCTTTCAACCTCTCAGGAATGTCTGTCATGCCATCATCTCTGAAGTTTGCACTCTTCATTCGGCCACACTCCGGTATCAATCACACCAATAATCAAATCTTTTCCGTACTGAGAATCCGGCCACAGTCCCGTGGCCGGATTGAGAGACAGATCGAAACTCGAAGGTGTGGGTTGGGTCAAGAGTGACGGTTTTGTCACTGTAAGCTGAGACAAACCCTGTGGCTTTCTTGGACAACACTGCGCTTAAACCATGAAATGCGTGGTCTTAAGTGTAGAGAATCCTGGTTGGCTTTCTTGGATCATCGGATAATGTCGTCAATGACCCGCCGGAAAATTGCTTGCATTTCTCGGTGCCGTCGGAAGCCGACGAGGATATGCCGGCGACGGTGGACATGACCCGATGATGCCGTGGCTCTGCCGTTCTCCGCAGCTAAATGAAAAAGTCAGCTCTTTGATATGAGTAAACTTATTTGACCAACACTCACTTAAAACAAAAAATAAAACAAAAAAAAATCCACATAAGCATATGACCTGCTCCATGTCATCAGGGAAACCTGTGAAAAGTTCTAAGTAAATTTTTTTTTATGGTTTGTGGATCGAAATAGCACTTATGAAAGATCAGGGTGCGGGATGAAGAACCGCTTATGGTTCAGGGTGCGGAATGACACTTTAGCCTTAGTTATAATAATTTTATTTCACAAAAGTTAACAATGTAATAATTTCTTACTATTAATTCAGAAACTCTATAATTGCCCAATTCGAGGACTTTTTAATTGTGCAATCCCTTTTCCCATGATATCGATCATTTATGTTTTACTGTAAGTAATAGCTCAAACTATTTATTATGACTTCACTTTCTTAACAATAATTTTTTAAATTTGTTAGAGTGATGACTATGAGTCCAAGATGTTTGTTTATTTATTTGGTTAGCATAGGAGAATAAACCAACAACAAAATGAATATCATTTTACAAATAACGGTAGTTATTCATTTTTCATAAACAAAAGATATTTATGTACATTAATATTCCATTAAGATATTCCTAGATATTCAGTTATGAATTTTCTAATGAAGGTTTGATGTAGTTGTATTTGATTAACAACATAAAAATTTGCAGCTATCTTTTAGATATACTATCAAAATTGATATAAAAGTGCATACATTTTTATATTTGTAAATTTCACCATTTGTATTTAACTAATAATACATACCTATTGAACCATTGTTAAATTGCATGTCATTTTTTTTACTTCATCTAAATTTTAAAAATAAATGTGACATTATTACTACTATATATAAATTTATTCCAATCTGGCTGATCGACCTGCGATCTACGCGAAACTCTAAGCTAACTGAATTCCGGTCCATTGTCCAATTGCTCAACTTAGCAGAGGGAGAGTAACCCAGAGGAGGATCCCCAAGAAGACGTGCTATCGTCCACTGGACCGGTCGCCAAATTCTCAATAGTCAATCTCGTGAGACCTAGCCCAACGGTAGTCGAAGTAACAAAATGCCTCATAGAGGCCTTACAGCACGACCTCGCACCGGAGAGGATAGTGCCAACCGCAATGGACCCCTACTAGTTTTGGTCAGCTACAGAGAACACTGGAGCAGGACCAATCTTAGAGAAAGACATGAGGACTAGTTCGCTCGCTAATCAAGAAAATCGTTTGGGATGCCCAGTTTTAGATCGATTGAGTCCGCGGAACTAGCTAGCCATATCTAAACACCGAAGTCACGACAACTAATCGGTCGGTACTCAACATTGAGCGGTTACACCCAACCCCTGTTGACAAGCAGAAGCCGCTCGAGTAATTAAGCACCAAACCAACAAACCCCGAGGACTAGAATACATGGAAGTTGATTTCCACGAAGAGATAGCAGAGAGCAGTGATGAATCTCCAACACCTTCCCAGAAAGCCCAAGCCCGGGAGGTTGCGGAGCTAGTGAAGGAAGTTTAGGATTTACAATACAAAGTGAAAGGAGGGAAGAACTTGCCAATCACCCGGTCACTATAACCACTAGCCCGTTCACCGAGGATATACAATGCTATCATGCACCAAAGGATTTCAAATGCCCTTCGATGCCCAAATACGATGGGATCGATGACCCCAGCAATCACCTTGTTGGTTTCTAAGTCAAAATGATGGTGATAGGAGCCAAAGATCTTATGTACTGTCATGCCTTCATCTCAACACTAGGAGGGTGTTAGTCCCAAATAAGGTGAGGTAAAAGTCTAGAGGGGGTGGGGGTGAATAGACTTTAATACCGATTTCGCCAATCACAAAATTAGTTAAGGCAATAAAAGATTCAAAACTTTTAACCGATTGGTAGAGTCTTGTGCACAGCGAAATATTAAAATAAGTGTTGTGATTGTGTCAAGTGAATATCACGTGAGAAGCAAGCAAGCATGTGATAATTAAATAAAGCAGTAAAAGACACAAGAATTTATAGTGGTTTGGTGGTGATGTAATCATCCTACTCCACTTTCTCCTATCTCAAGGAGTAATTCACTATATCCACCACTTCTTAGTTACAAGATACAATGAATTTTTGTGATCTAGTGTTTTGATCACCAAGCCCACACTAATCATGCCCCAACCAGTGTCCCCAACACTGCAACAAGATTTCACAACTCCGTGCTACTTTCCCCCTTCTACACTCCGGTAGAATATCCAAACAGGATTTCACAACTTCGTGCTACTTTCTCCCTTTCTACACTCCGGTAGAAATACAACCAAGATTTCAAAACTCCGTGTGACAATCTTCTTCCTACACTCCCGTAGGGAAACCACTTGTTTGTAGAAAACAAGTTTTCTTTGCTTCCAACTTGAGACTTCTTTGATTGATTCTTCAATGTGTAGCAAGTCTCTTAATGATGAAGATTTCAGCACACTGAATTTTTCTTTGTAAGTTTTCTCTTGATTGGATTCGTATGTCTCTAAGCCGTTTTGAACTATTGGCCCCTACTTCAATCTTCAAATATTCATCCTTTTATAGGCTCCCCTAAAAATATTAAGCCATCTTTTTGAGTTCTAAATCCACACAAATAGGCTCCCCTAATTAAATATGATGTAGATCACGTCTTCTGGGATTTTAGTCTTCAAATATATGCTTCAATTTAATCCCTTTCTATTTTGGACTAGATACTGGGATTTTAGTCTTCAAATATATGCTTCAATTTAATCCCTTTCTGTTTTGGACTAAATACTTTCCTTTTATAACTTGAGCTCATAATTCTTCTCAATTCATACAGCTACTGACTTTTGAAATTGTATATCTGAATTAATTCCTTCAACCAATAGGATTCCTTGATTTAATTTGCACTTCATCCCCATACTGAACCCCATTAATTAATTTTTCAATCTGATCTCAAACTTGTAATGAAGTCTCAGCCCTTGATTTAATGCTTGAAATCTCATCTCATAGAAACTTCAGCCATTTCTTTAATTGGCACTGAAATCTCAGTCCTTTCTTGATTTGGAAACTGAAATCTCATCTCATCCATAATTAGATTTGCAACTTCAGCTCATTGCAAATCTCATACTTCAGTCTTTTGACTGATCTTCTTTGACTTGCAAACTTCATCTCATGATTTACACCATGTATTTTTGAATTTCTTCTCAATTTATTCTACAAATTTCATCTCATACTTCAGCTCATGATTTACATATACATATTAACAAATCTTTAGCGGGTAGCCCAGGACTCGTCTGGCCCACCCGCCAAGTCCTCAGACCTAGGCAGGGCAGACCAAAAAAGTCTGCTATTTGACGGGCTTCTATTTTCTCTTCTACTTAGGTGGGCGTGACAGGTCGGTCTGGTAGGCAGAATCCGTTTTGACGGTTCCAATTGTAACTAAGTTGCACATACAATGTTAATAATTTTATCCATTTTACATAAAAACGAATTTAGAATAGTGATAATGAGTTTCTATGATCAGTCATAAAACATAATGATTAAAATTCTAATTTGTTATACATCAAAATGAGAAGGAGAAACGAATATTTTGTTGGAGTGCGTGAAAATGACGGAAGCTTGACTCACATTATTGGAGTCAAGCAAGCTAAGCCAGTATTAATATTATTTGATTTGATATTTTGTATCATTTGGGTAAGAAAATTAAAATAGAATAATATTTATTTGATATTTGATCTTTCACCTTAAATGGGAGAGGGTAAGTTGCAATCCTACAACAGGCCGTCTAACGGACCTCACACTAAACCATGTGGTATATCGAAGTGTGTAGGGCTATGACTCCATAACTATACATATTACTATTATTACTATTATTTTTTTAAATAATTCATATATTTCAATTTTATTAAATTATATTATAGACCTTGTTCCAAATTCATAATGACATAAAGTCGGATCAAATTAGATTCGAGACTTAACATAGACAGTATACTTCTATATACAAAGAGTTTAACCCAAACTCAAACTTAGCTTTCTTGTTACTCCCTATGTACACGTTAATTAAGAAAACTCACTGCTGGAAATTAGCATTTTACCGACCTCATTTCCGACCACCCAAAAATTTGGTCACAAGCGGTGGCTTTTTTTCATTTTTTCGACATAGGGTTACAGTGGTCGGAAAGTGGTCGGAATTTCCGACCACTAAGTAAAAATGGTCGAAAAATTCTTTGGGCAGTTAAAATTTTTTGAACTAAATTTTTCCGACTACCTTGGTGATCGGTATTTCCCATACATACCTATTTTAGTTATTATCCTAATCCTAATATATAAATATCCATTATATATACATATATAAGTAATACATACCTATTTTAGTTATTGTCCAACCTAATATATAAATATAAAATCCAGTATATATAGAGAGTATATATTTAATATTTATTTAACCCAATTCAACCCGACAGTCCGACACCTTTGCGCCGCTGAAGCCCTAGATCGTCTACGAATTTGAAGCCCTCGATCGCCTTCTCCTCCCTACCTCTTCTCCTCAATCGACTACGCAGCTGCGAACCTTCTCCTCGATCAACGACGTAGCTGTGATATAAACCTTTTCCCCGCTCATCTCTGCCATCTCAAACACTCGTTGGCATATTGTTCTGCCGATAAAGTTTGTATGAGGAGAGGAATGCAATGAAAGAAAACTTGCTGCATTGATCGTTTCTAAGGTAACCACTATTATGCCTTCGTTAGTTTCTCATCTATTGTTAGAGTTTAGGGACTTAGGGTTCTTTATTTCTAATTTATTGTTATTACTATAATCAGCTAGGTATACAAGAGCAAATCTCCTGAACTGATTCGAGCTTGGCCTTCAATTCGAATTGGTGAAAATGTCTTCTTTTAGATCTATCAGGCATCAAGCAGGTAAGCAGGTTATCTACGATAATGTATCCAGAAGATAGTATACAGTATGTATGACTTTCTACTTGTATTGATAGTTACATTTATTTTTTTGTATTTACTTTACCAGTTAAGTTGTGTTTGTAGTTTATACTTAAGGAATGGTTTGCACTTGATTAGTCCCTTGGTGTCTACCAAGACTGAAAGAGAAAGAAAATATGAGAGTTTGCTTAACATGGAATACCTTTTCTGCTTCTCTTTTTTAGTAAACAAGCAAAGATGGTTAAAGGTTTTCCATGGACATATAAACACTCAAACGTTACTGGTTTTCCACACAACATTTAAATTAATTAACTACCTTGAGTAATCACTTTGCATCTCATTCTTATGTTTGATGAGAAAATCAAATTCCACAAGTTCTGCTTGTTTACTGAAACCAATTTGACATAGCATCACTGCACTGTGATTATTTCAATTTTTACTATTTTACATCATTACCTTACATTCTATTTACTACTGATTCTTGATGATCTTGTTGGTACTGTGTCTGTTTGTGTAAGACATTAGAAGATAAGCTTTGCAAGTAAGACATTTTGGATAGATGACCACACTCATTTCCACTTCCGCATCATATTTTTTATTACTTCAGTTTCACCTGGCATGGCATTATTTCAGGTTGTTGATGAAACAGATCGGTTACTTAGGGAGCCATATCAATCATGGCTGCCTACTGTCCTCCAATTGACCCTTCCTTGTGATATGCTCTTTCCTTCTGATAGTTTTTCTTCTTATGCTTTTAGTTCTTTGAAGACAATTTGGAGATTGGGTAAGTGCTTGAAGTGCTATGAATGATTTTGAGATCTGACTAGGATGAACAAGTTAGGATATAAGGTACAATTCTTCTTAGTTTTTAACTTTTCAATTGTAATTGGATGAATTCAGGCCTTATTGGATTTAATGCATAAATAAAACATTATTTTGCTTTCTAGCATAACTTTTAATATAATCCATAAATGATGAAGTTCTGAATGTCAACTATGCTTTTGTGTTTGAAGCTATTTTAGATTCATGCAGTGGTGTTGAAAGAGGGTTCACGGGTAAATCTTGCCCCAGGCTTGTGAAGATGGTCTTGTGTGCACAAGGTGAATATGATTATAATTCAATTTTTGACTTAGATGACCTGTAGAGTTTACATGTTATCCTTCTGGTAAAAATGATTTTTTTTTTATAATTCCTATTACACTTTATTGTGTAATTATTTCATTTAAAAAAATTGGCTAATACTCTTCTTTGTGATTCCTTACAATAAAGCTTCTTCATGAAAGTATGTATCACAAAGTAGTTGAACGACTTCTTGATGTATACAAGCAAGTTAAGATAGGGGATCCTTTAGAGTAGGGTACCTTGCTTGGACCACTACATACACGTGCTTCAAGGGAGAACTTTGAGAAGGGAATTCAAAAAATTATATCGGAGGTATGTAATGTAATTTTCACATTTTTCATTACATAGTATTAAATTACCAACTTTCCTTTGAGCCTGATGGTTTTGAACTTTCTGATTGTTATTCTTTTAGGGCTAATTTCTTTATTTTATATTGAATTATACTCTTTTAAATAAATAAATGTTTTGTGATGATTTCTTTATCCTAATTCTGATTGGATCCTCACAGCGCACTAATGTAGCTCCTATAAGCACTATTATCCTGTGATCTATAATTAGTGCATTACTCATATCCTTCCAGTCTCATTTTGACAAACTTAAACACTGAAATTTCATAAGCATTAAGCAGAGCTTTATAACATCAAATATAATCTTATGTTGAAAACTTAAAGGGTGGTTTACACACACACCCCTATCTTCAAGGTTATCCACCATTATTTTTGTCTTTCTGAAGAATGAATGATATTGTCTTGGAATAACTTGATCACATCTTAAGACAACTAGGCATATAGCAGCAATTGGTTTCTTATATGCTCTGTTTCTTTGACTCTTGTTTTTTCTATAAAATTTTACTAATAGATTTAATTTTCAGGGAGGCAAGATCCTGACAGGAGGTTCAGTTATACCATCTGAAGGGAACTTTGTGCAGCCAACAATAGTAGAAATATCTCCAAGTGCTAATGTCGTGAAGGAAGAGTTCTTTGGCCCAGTTCTATATGTTATGAAATTTAAGGTAGCTACTTTTTTATGCAAATTTATGGTTTTCATTGATTAGAAATTGTTTTGTGTTGTGTAACATGGACAAACATTGTTAAATTAAAGTCTCACTTCTGAGTACCCACTCTTCTTGCAGACATTTAAGGATGCTGTTGAAATAAACAACTATGTGCCTCAGGGTTTGAGTAGTTCAATCTTCACCAAGAAACCTGAATATATATTCAAGTGCATTGGGTTAGTATTTCAACAGTTTATTTTCTCATTTAATGAAATTGAAAGATTATATGTTGTGGTGTTTGATACAGATGATTTAATTTGATTATTGGGATTATAAATTAAATATATCTTTTACATATTTGGCAAAAATAATAGATTGCATGCCTTTTTTTGCATATATTTTTAAATATTAGATCTTATTTTAGATTTCTTTTTCCAATTATGATCCTGCATCTGTTGACATTTTTTGTTTTGATGGCAGTCCTTTAGGAAGTGATTGTGGTATTGTTAATGTGAACATACCAACAAATGGAGCTGAGATAGGTGGTGCTTTTGGAGGAGAAAAAACTACGGAGGTGGTCGTTTCACTACAGAGGGATTCTCTGTGGTGAAATGAATTTGGTCAGGTAATATGAGTTAAGCTGTATATGCTCACCTTTATTTGCATATATGGATACAATGGTTACCATTTTTAGACTTGCAGGATAAGTTGATGACAGTTCCATCAGAGGCCTCAAGTGGTGGCTCCTCAACAAGTTGGCTTTTTAAAAATAAAGAACACGGCAAAGCCTTCTCCCTGCATTTTAGGGTATGATCCTGCAATGGGATGTCGATAATGGACTTGCACAAATTGACAAGTACTTCCACAGTACTGACAATAATGTAATTGCGGTCGCTCAATTGGCAGTTGGGGTAGTAAAATGTTCTGTCAAGAATGAGTGTGATCCTGTAAGTCCTTTATGTACTTTCCTATTACTGGACTTATTTTGTTCTTATAAATATATACTATGATCTAATATTGTTTTGCATCACAGGCATTAGCAATTTAGCACTCCTTACAGAGTATATAGACAGAGATGATGCTTCGATTAGAATTGGTGTAATAATGGGGCTTGGACTTGCATATGGAGGTTCTCAGAATGAGGTGTGATTCTGTGCATGTATTGTTGTTGTTCATCTATTGCACCATGGCTCTGTTATGACTTATGATTCTAAATTCAATTTTTCAGTGTCCTACAGGTTATCTACCAGGATAAGTATATGAGAATAACCATACATAAGTCAATCTAAAATTTAGATTGCTTCAAAAATGGGGATGAGTTTCTGATTGATCTGTCTTTTCTTTCTAGATTAGATTTACTTGTGTTAAATTTTTTTAACTGTATATTCATGAATGGATTCTTTTGAAGTGTATATATTTTTCAGCAAATATCTTACCAGCTTGAAAAAAAAAATAAAAATAATATATATATATATATATATATATATATATATATATATATATATATATATATATATATATATTCATTCATTTCATTACAGAGAATCCTCTGTAGTGAAATGAATTTTTTTATTGACTGTGTCCAGTTTTCCGACCACCAAAGTGGTCGAAATTTCTGACCACCGGTGGTCGGAAAATCTGGACCCCGATTGACTGTTCTCTTGGCCATTTTTTCCGACAGTCTTAGAAAAGTGGTCGCTATTTTTGACAATTCTCTCTAGTTGTCGAAAATAGCTAGGGGAATTTTTCCGGACGCCTAAATTGGTCGGAAAAGAGGTCGGAACAGGCGTTTCCGACCTAATTATGGCCATTTCCGACCACTTTTCGGTGGTCGGAAAATGGCAAATTTCCAGTAGTGACTTAAAAAGTAGTATAGAGTACTTTTTTTTTTTTTTTTAAAGAAAATATGATCCATATATACATTAGGGAGTTTTGGTCTAGCTGGGAAATCAAATATAGGGGTGTATGTACGAAATAATATTTTTCTTAACTTAATTGTGTGGCTAGGCAAATTATTGTGTGGACCGTGCCACACAGCTGTGTGAATCATGGTTCAAAATATCATCGTGAATATTATGAGTAAAAATAATATATATTATGTGTTAAAATTATATACATTATGTTTTAGAATAATGTACATTACGTGTTAGAATAATGTACATTATATATTAAAATAATGTACATTATGTGTTAGAATAATGAAATATCTACGATAATATATTGTACGTTATGCTTTAGAATAATGTACATTTTGTTTTAGAATATTGTACATTATAAATTGTAAAAATTTATGTGACAACTAGGTGCGCGAAAAAATAAAATTAAACAAAACGTAGTTGTTTTTGGACTTTGATTCACACAATAACTATTGTTGTGGCTATACGTGGATCTAAGTATTGACCCCAACTTCAAGTTTGGGTGTCGAGAAAATGAAAGAAGCTTCAGCCACCATTCACAATGGAGTCATGCACGCAGCTGCTTTGTTTTCTCAAAAAAAAAAAAAAATTAAATAACAAATATATTGTTTAATTTTATATAGTCTTTTTTTGAATGCTACTAACTCTATTACAATGTAGTATCTGTTCATATACTTTCTCAACCTACTGAAACACAAAGAGCCAATAACGCCTCCACTGAGGCTCGAAATCACAATCTTCCAAATGGAAGTCCAACCCGGATACCATTAGACCATATAGTCCTGGTACTTTTATATAGTCTAATTAAATTGTTTCAATCATTATATTCAATGTATGTATTGAGATTTTTAAAATTTAATTCATTTTATTATTTTTGATTTTATGAAATTTTAATATTAAATTTCATTATTTTTAATACTTGAATGAAATTTATATTGATAAAAAAAAATAATTGTTGGAAAAAAGTAATTTTTATTGATAAAATAAAATAGTCACTTATGTATATCTAGCGTGAGAGTAGAATTTACTTTCAAAAATAAATAAAACTTCACTGCTTTTCAAACCTCTTTGGCAGCTTTTAAAGACTGAAGCATGATTATATTTTAGCGATCCATTCACTGTCTAATTAACATGTAACAATTAAAACTGACCCTAACTTGAAGTTTGGGTGTTACACTTTTCAAGTCTTCATCTTTTATTATTTAGAAACTTGTGTGATAGGTGATTCTATAATATATTGTGTATTTTTTTTTTACTTAAATAAACTTTGTAATGTGAACTTTATAATGTTATATATTTATTTATCAAGTATTTTATTAATATCATGACTAAAATAAAAAAATAAAATTAATAAAGTCAATCATATTAACTAGGATTTGTTGACAAAGAGAGTATTCAAATCACATAACAAATTGAATGAGAACTACCTTGCAATATCCTTGTTTGACAATCAGCTGTTGGCGTTAGCGGATTATATTAGCGAATTTGACCAACGAATTATATCAACGGCGGTAAAAAAATATTTGAAAAAATTAGTTGTTTAGATTAACATGTAAAATGACCTAAGGGTATATATATCTATATTTAATAATAATAATAATAATAATAATAATAATAATAATAATTATTATTATTATTATTATTTATTTTTTTTAAAAAAAATAATCCAATCATATTAACTATTTGGGGAATTTATTGACAAAAAAGTATTCAAATCACACAACAAATTGAAGTGGGAAACTACCTCGCAATGTCATTGTTTGGCAATCAGTAGTTAGCTCTTCAATATTAGTATATATTTAATATTTTATGCCCTAATTTTTATCTGCTATCCCTTATGTCCCGTATTTGGTTTCAACCATACCTATACAATTATTTTATTGACAATTATAATCAATCTTGACTATATTATCTTGCATTTGTAAACTTAGAATTATCTATTTAAATATGCAAATTCAACATTCAATTATCTATGGATGAACAATTCCAATATAATCTTGACATGATATACTTTAAAGTACTTATTTTACTTCAACATTAGGCATTATCTCAATCACGTAATACGCGTAAAATACTAGTTCTCTTTATAATTGTCAAATTAAGTACTCCTCCAGTCCTCCATGAAGGTTCATGGCTGCATAACCAAGAAGCTAAGGTACTATTGTTTAATTTGTGTTCTATAATCAAATAAATCTCATTTATTGAATCGTTATATAATATTCATTACTCTCAATCAATAGGGTGTAGTGTGATATATATATATATATATATATATATGCACAAGT